TTTGTATTTATGTTGGTTTTTAATAGAGATCTGTGTCTCATAAGTTTTACCCAGATGTTCCCTGCATGTCTACATTTGGTTTCTGTACATCAGTCTGCACCTCCTAGAGTTAAAGCCATGGTAGAAAACAGCAAAGAGCTCTAACAAGGACCAAAAGGCAATGGCTTCTCACCTCAGCTCATTCTGATACGGTTACGTCTAGGAAAAGGACTGAAAATCACTTAATTTGGTTTTGTTTTGTTTTTTTTTGTTTGTATTTTTATCACTGATGGATCAAGTAAAGTTTTTATTTCCTACTATGTTTCTGCATTGTTTTTTTTTTTAAATGACACTTCTTTTAATATTGCTTGGGTATTTTTAGGTTGCACACAGTCCTTTTATTGTGTTGATTGATGATCTTGGACAAGTGCTTTAATGGATAATTTACCCAAAATTGAAAATGAGGTTTGTTTTCTTGTTGAGCATGTGTGGTTGAGCTTTACCACATTCAAAAATAAGAGACTAGAAAGAATATCTTCATTTGTGTACTAAAGATAAATGGGAGTTTTATGTGTGTGGAATGATGTGATGGTGAGTAAATGACTTACATTTTTTGGGTACAGTACCTCACAAACAGTTGCCATCTGAATATGCTTTTTTCAGACCAATAGCAGCATAACTAGTATGGAGTTGCTTTTACACACAAACTTACCAGTTGCCTTTATCTATATTGATGAGATATGTCCAGGTGTTGATCAACAGCGTCATATGTGACCGCAGTTTCAGGACCAGGCCAGAATCTCTGTTCGGAAGTTAGGGCAAAGCTGATGATCACCTAACCTGCCCCCACCACTAACCCTAACTTCACTACAAGTATAACAGAAGCACCACCCTCGAGAATGCCCATCCACACCTTGCCACTAATTTCAGTAAGGCTATAATCCCCATTCTTCTGGTCTGAAACGGCTGTCACGGATACTATGGAGCCCATGACAATGGTTCCAAGCATTGTCAAGGCAAAGTGCAACAAGCAATAACGTATAGTGACATATTTGAATGAATCAGTGTTTTCAATAAATTGGTTGATTAGTTCAATGTCTCGCTCGCAACCAGATGTGTCCTCTAAAGGGCCGTCTACACAGGACTATGACTATAAAGTGTTAATCGTTTGAATCCATTGAGAATAGGGAAATCAACACCACAGCAGTAATGATGACACGGGAACGATGTCGTAGCTGCATCCGAAGAAACTTCCATGCTATTTAGTAGGCGAAAAATATGTGACACTGTATGTCTGAATTTACAGTTGTCATAAAACAAGCCAAAAGTACCAAGATGACCTTACTGCCGCTATCATTCTGTATTTTATTTTATTATTTTTTTTAAAAGTCATGAAAACACTATCGTGGAGTTTTTCTTTTGCTGACTAAAATGGCGACTTCATGACGCCGACACTGATTAGCGCGCTTAAAATAAACAGAACCTCAACTTCCGTTGGTGTGGACGGTATGGTAGTTTATCTTTCCTGCTTCAAACGGAACTTAACGGAGGCTTCTTATGTGAGTACGTTTTAAACAGACTTTTCAAAAGATTATGAAAACATCTTTAATAAAAATAGTGAGTGCATTTTTAAAATGGATAAGTTCTTGTGAAATGTCATGAGGAAAATAACAGGGCACTAAGTGGACAGCGGTTATTTTACCTTGCTAAAATAGCTTTATAGTAATTTTTAGAAAATGTTTACAACCGTTGACAATATTACATTCTGTGTTTTAGGTTTACCACATCACAGTGTGCCATCTCTGATTTAATGCTAGTAGACATGGAGCTGTACATCTCGGTGACCAAAAAAAAAAAACCACGATCCATGTATTTTACTTCAGCTGTGCCATTGTTCAAGGCCTTCACCCTTTAGCCGCAGGCAACACACGGTAAGAGATTCAGATTTATTTCAAATCTGGAAATAATATATTGAAAAAGGTGGTTGTAAGCTATTGCAGTTTGGTAAAACAATGTAAAAAGCATAGATACAAAATGAAGTGATTTTACCTTGGCACTGTATCAAACAAATATATGATTAAAAAAAAAGAACCATAAATAATGATAACATTAATAACCAATTTTTCCACAATGTTCTTATAATGCAGTGTTATGAGCAACTTAATGAACAATTAAAAAATAACAGAATTGTTTTGCTACATCACAAACTGGCCAAACATTTATATATATTTTCTTTTTTTCCGTTAAGAAAGGGGAATACTCATTCTTCAGATCTAACATACATGTTCATTTGACATTTTCTGTAATCTTGCAAGCAACTGCTAGAAGAGATGGGCCTAACATTAGCTGTTATTTTTCAATTTGTCTCATCTTCCACGGGGCTATTTTCTACATTAGCAACAATTACAAACAATAGAATAAAATCTAAATCGGGTGGCTCACATGAACACCCTGGAGAATACAGAATAGATTTTCTCATAGTCATAATTGCAATAAAATGTTTCATTATATATGAAATTATTAATAATACCAATAATAATCAACAATCCATTGAATATTAATAATAACAACTTCAATTGCAACAGATATATTTACTGTACATAATACAACGGAACGTGAGAAGGTATTTGTAATTACACAGTAATTGTTTGTAAGTCTATGACCCATGTAATTTTTAGTGATCTGTAATGCGTTATAGAATTCAACGTAACGTCTACGTCACACTGCTACAAGCTCCTCTGTGCTACGAAGAAATATTCATCACTTTCTCTAGCTAAATCTGTTTACGGCATATACAGAGGCTTCACCAACACTTTTTAGACTCGTTTTTCAGCTTAAAAGAGCAATGGCAGAGTTTCAGCCATCCATTCTGACCTATTAAGACACCAGATGTCTCAAGAACCGACAATCAGCATACCATTGGGTCATGTGTTGACATGGGAAGCTTGACATGATGTAGCGAGTGACACATCCATTAAATATTGTATTTGACTAGGTTCCATCAATCCATTTACATTGGAAAACGTTGGTTAGAATAGAAAGGCCATCAAAATAGTCTTTCTGAGCAGTCCGTTTGAGAGTCAGATTGATTCCTGTCAGTGCCTGAGTAGGCAAACAACTTGCAAAGGGGAAAGTGTGGTCAGTCTTGCTTGAAATTATGTTTTGTTGGTATATCAAAAACATATGGCCCTGATAAGAGATCATCCTATTTCTCGCACTGGAAACCCCAACGGCATGTTGTACATAGTCGTTCAGTGTTTTGAGAAGGCAGGAAGTCCTTCACAGTGGAAGAGGAAATAGTCTGTTGTGCTTTTCTGTCACCTTAGACTTGCTGCGTCCAAAAAGTGTAAGTTGACTGTGATTACAACCGTTTTAAAGCTTAAAAAAATATGTATTCATAAAATGATGGATATTTTATCCATAAAGTATTCGGAAAATAAATAAATAAATAATATATAAATAAATACAGAAATAAAAAGAGATGGTAGGCAACAGTAAATGAAAAAAAGTACAAATGTCTGAAAAAAAAACCAGTTGGACTAATTAATTGATTTTTAAAAAATCAAACAAGTTTAGATACAGAAATGTAGGTGTAGTTATTACAAATAATTAGATAAATACTCCTGCCCTTTTTTACAGACAGTGAATAAAGATCTACAGTTTTGATAGAAGAGTTTGTTCATTATTTTCATGGATTAATAAAAGCATGCAGGTTACATAGAAACATCCAGTGTGAGGTGGTTATTAGCTGGATGGTGTAACAAATCAAGTTATTAGAACAATACATATTGTGTGAGTTATATACTGTATTTCGTATTGAATATAATACTGAATAGTTAGATTTTTTTTAAAAAGCCACACATAGTGCTGTTAGGCACGTGTAGATAGTCAAGACATAGAAAACAGATTATATTTTTTTGCCCATGGACAACATGGCAAGTAGCTGTCAACCATCTATTCTTCTTTTGTCAAAAGTCTTTAGCCAGTCTGTTTCGAGGTTGACAAAAGAAATAAGAGGAAAACAACACGATTCTGCGGAAGTTTGTAGCGGTGAGTTGCCCACTTCTTTAAAGTCCACAGAGCTGTCACATCCCTACCTTGTAAATTCTTAGACACTTTCATAACATATTTTAACATCACTTTTGACAACATGTCTATCTGCTAATCTAAAAATGTACTTTATAAAATATACATCTCCCAATAAAATATTTTCCATTATTCCATTACCTTTTCCATAGTAAAAAAAAAAAATAAAAATGTTCAGATCATTCATGCAATCAGCATTTTTCTTAAAAAAAAAAAAAAAGGAAAGTAATAGATGGAATTTGCAAGAATTACTGTGTGATCTTGTTTCCAGTTTGCTTTTACCCATTTGAGAGGTTGAATGCACACAAACACATAATCCATTCTTCCTAAACTTCCTTTTCTTTCATAAACACACAAAACTTCACCACCTAAACTAACACAGCATTTTTTTTTAGAAATAATCCACAAATTAACATTTGGTGTGAAGTGGACAGATTATTTTTGTTCTATAAAAGCCGCAATAAATTAAAGCACTCAAGCAAAATGTAGAAGCTACATTGATTTCATGTTAGAGGGTTTTCATCTGTTACAAAAAAAGGCAAGGGAGGGGGGGTGGGGGTGTGAAATGAACAAGATGCTTCCCCTCCTCTCTGAAAGAACATTTTTCAGTGTGCAGATCATGTGTGAAATTGAAGATTGTCTTCTGCACCCCTGTTTCTGAAGAGTCTTATGATATAGACCGTCCTATTTCAGGAAACGTGGCTGTTGCCTCAGAGCTTGAATGTTTCTGTTGTGTTTTTTTTCTCATCTTTTTTAAGATTACGATTTTTAAGACACGTGTCTTCACACTGGGCTGATGAGAAGCTTGACTGCAATTGCAAAGTGATCCCTGTGGTAATTTGATAACTGGCTTCAAAAAGGCATTTATCTATACTGCAAAAGTTGCTTTCAGTTTTATTACTGCCACTGCCAAGACATTCAGTTTCAGGCCCAAATTTACATCAGGGTGCATTGCTCTACTCTGGCCACAAGAGTGCACTTGTGTCACAGTGAAAGGGGCTACATCCGTCACACTGTGGGATCAATTAAGAAACACATACACAGCCAAGATTATATCAAAACAAGGTCTATTATTTAAAATAACAAGATAAGATCCTATTAATATATGATATTGCACCCGTATGTGTTGGCGTGGTTCATTAAAACAGTCCTAACATTTTTATATGTTTTGTGGACTTACAAAAGTCTCAATCTTGGAACACTTTGTTGTGCTGGTTGAGCCCTTTTTTCTGAGAATAATAACACTTGCTCAACAAAAAATGAAAATAAAATGTGTAAGCTCACATCTAAACACCAGCAGCATACTAGTAAGCCATCTCAAGTTCTCCATCACACTAAAGTGAGTAATTACACTCGCTCTCTGGCTGCTTTGTAACATGGACGTCTGTGCAGAGGGCCAGAGAAGAGCCGTAGTGGTTGTTTAAGGGGGTCCGAGCGACTCAGAGTCTCGTCTGAGCCTCTGTGATGTAGATCTCGATGCTGTCAGCGCTCTCCGTGGCAGAATTCTGACGGAAAGAGGCTGAGCGTTTGGTCTGGAGCAGCCTGCGCCGTGTGTCCAGCTTTTGCCGGTCACTCACGTCCAGCGATTTCTCCCGTTCGGGAACGCTACGTCCTCGCGAGACCACTAGCATGCCTCCGGCCTCGGTCGCACTGTCGGCACGCAGGCTGCCCGTCACGCCACCGACTGGCTTCTTTGGTAATGGAGGTGGAACCTTCTTGTCCTCCTGAGAGGAAGAGCAGGGGAGTGGCGTGACAGCATGGATGACCAATGCAGGGATGGACGGGAACGCAGTGAAAGACACCGAAAACGCACACGTACAAGCAGAGGATATGCCAGAGAGGATGAAGACCAGGATATGTACGGAGAAGGGACAGCACCATGAAGTTGCAACATAAGAATGATTTGGATTAGCGTATTTAGGATGAGACATGACATTGAGGAAGCAGCAGACAGTAAGAAAGAAAGAAAACAGAGAAATTAGTTACAGATTTGTTAGGCTTTAATATCTCAAAGCAAATAAACAGCTGTTAGGCAGTAAAGCAGATGTTATTCCAGAACATGCATGTCTTTTTTTCTGTAGTTTAGTTCCTTTTCTTGCTGAGGTGTTTGTGTGTTGGAAAAGAGCTGCTGGGGCCTAGCACATGGGCGGTTCTCCTGCCTGCTGCTGCTTTGGCACTGGAGTGAAGCTGTGGAGTGACTTGAGCAGAGCGAAACTCCACTCTCACCTTCTTCTCAGGAGGTAATCTCCAGCCCGAGTCCTTCAGCCGCTGGAGGTCCTGAAACTTCACCCTGATGTCCTCGATGGCTAGCTGGAGGAGGTCCCAATAACTGGCCAGATCCTGAGTGCTGGGCTGAGGGTATGATGAAGGATCCTATGAGAAGAGGGGGGATATTATAGAGCGCTGCAGGGATGGCATATTCTGTAGGCCAAAACCTGGAAACGAGTTAGCATTTAAGCACTTCCAGTCCCATTTTCCCGAAGTTTTTTTTTGAATGGGCTTAAGTTTTCTTTTTTGAATGGGCTTAATGGGGTTAAATGCCTGAAATAAGGTCTGTGGTAAACCCAAGCCTAAGATATTGTACATTTTATTCTATGACATAAAATACATAATGTTATTTAGTAGTGATGTAATGTTGTTATTTTTACTTGAAAAAGGGCAGTTGCTAAGTGGCTAAATGGGATTACACTAGTGAAAAAAACTGCATATGCTGGTTAGGTATGTTTTGAAGCATGTCAGCTGGTTTGAGCTGGTTATGAGCTGGTCCTGAGCAGGAGCTAGTTGCTTAGGACCAGCACATGACCAGCTTAAACCAGCTCAGGACCATTTTAAACCAGCCCATACCAGCTTCCATTCTTCAAAACATATCTAACCAGCATATGCTGTTTTTTTTTCAACAGGGTATGTCATCACGCTAAACAGATAAGCTCATGTTCTCACTTGTCCACTTTTACAGCCACATTGTGTTTACCACAACTATTCCTCACTCACTCTCTTCTGGCAGTTCATTCGTCTCTGCCTCTCTTTCCATGTTCTGGCACCATCCCTCCATCCTCTCCACTTCTGTCTGCAGGAGCCGGAGGAAGAACTCTCCATCTCGTAAACAGGGTGAGGCTCGGCCCGAATCAGGGAGGCTCCTCGGGCCCTCGCTCCAGCCTCCCACTCCACGCTCAGGGGCCAGGGGCAGAGGGGAGTGGGAGCGGTGCAGGGCCCTGAGTTCTGGAGGGCCAGGCTCGTTGGTGTAACCACTATGGTAATCCTCACGGTAGGCCCACTGGCCCTGTGTGTGCACTGTGCGATACTCTGCAAACTGACCAGCTGATTCTGGTTCAGACGAGTGGCGCTGGAATGAGCAGCCAAACTGCAGGCCCTTGTCTTGTGTGGGGACTGTCAGCCCACCAAAACCCTCCGTCTCAAGATCAGCCTGGACACTTGCTGTCACACTGTTGGAGCGTTTAAAACGGGCTCGTCTGGAACAAACAACAATAGGTCAATTTAGACTTAAATGTAGTGGTAGAACGAAATATTGATGTATAGTAGGGATGTGCATCTCCATAACTGAGGCCGATGCGATACACATCTTGATGCATAGACAACCAAACAATACATTAAACATACATATGAAGCAGCTACCAATGCAATGTGATATGATTCACCCCTATTACGATGCAGTGCGATCCGATTTCAATTTGATTCAACACAATGCGATGCAATGGAAAAAATATGATGCTTGCAGTATGGTACAGGTAGTTCGCTTTTATTTCTTTTATTTTTATTTCTTTCAGACAGACAGCATGTTAATTTATATTCTGTGACTCTCAGGACATGCCTTGGTCTCTGTAGTGTTGTGATACGTCATATTCGCGTAGCAGCAGCAGGGCTCCAGACAAAAACAAAAAAAATCAAGTAAGGAGCCATTGGCAATATCGTTAACAATTCTCGTTCATTGCTTCTTGTTATCAATATCTATATGCTGTGTTAAAGCGTGAACTTTATATTATTTTTTAGCTCACTTGCCCTCCAGTAACCTTTTAATAAACAAAATGTCAGCTTTAAAATTATGCCAAATTCATAACGAAATGCAAACAATAAATACGGTTTTGGCGCTTTTTAATGCGGCATTTATGATTGCTTTAGTGCAGGGGTGCCCAAACTCGTTCCTGGAGGGCTGGTGTCCTGCAGAGTTTAGCTCCAACCCCAATTAGACACACCTGAACCAGCTAGTCAAGCTCTTTCTAGGCATACTAGAAACTTCCTGGCAGGTGTGTTGAGGCAAGTTGGAGCTAAACTCTGCAGGACATCGGCCCTCCAGGACCGAGTATGGGCACCCCTGCTTTAGCGCCTCAGTTCAAGCGCAACTGAACCCATCGTGAATTTTAGAAAAGAGCTCGAAACACCGCTGTGTGTTGCTCAGAGACTGTTCTGCTGTGATCTTTGTTTGGAACTATTTTCATTAACCAAATCAAAACCGAGTTGAACGTCTTACAAGGACAGCGCATCCACACTTTGCTCCATCCTTATTCTGCTCTGTCACTCATCGACAACCTGCCTGTTCTGTCTGAGGGCCATATATTTACCGCAGGTAGCCTACAGCCTGCTCTGAGCATCGTTATGCACATGCTGCGCACAGACCACGCAAATAAAATGCGTGGCGTTTAAAGCATGCGTGCAGCGTGTGCATAACAGTCCTGAGCGCAAGCTGTACCGGTGGTCAATAAGAATAAAGCGCAGATATGCTGTTCTAAATGGACGTCGGGAACGGGATATTCCCGCCCGCTTCCGTTCAAATTACACCAGAGTTACCGACCGCTACCGCATTTTATTCGGGAATTTAATCCCGCGGCGCAAAAAATCCGGTCAGTTCCCGCGGGAGAGCCGCGGGAATGCAGACCTCTAGTTTGAACTCTTGTATAAAATCAATGTCAAATTTACACGGTTATCAGGGAAAACTGCACTCTCTTGGTCGTGACATGTTGCTTAACTAGGCTATATGTTATGAATATAAAAACTACACCGCAGTATGTTTCTTCTGTGTGCAGTTGTTCATTTGTGTTGATTTCCTCAAGATATTGTCTCAAACACAGGCAGGTTGCACAATCTATAGTACTACATTTACAGATTGCATCTACTTCCACTGTGAGTGCCACAACTGTAAGAAAATGAGGGACACATGGATTTTTTTTTTTAATGGTAATCAACATTATTCCACAAATGTTGTTGCTTGAGGTTAAAGGAATGATTCACCCAAAAAATTGCTTAAAATTTACCTACCCTCAGGCCATCCAAGATGAAGACAAGTTTGTTTCTTCATCGGAACAAAATTTCAGAGATTTAGCATTTCATCACTTGCTCACCAGTGGATCCTCTGCAATGAATGGCTGTCCACAAGTCCAGAAGTAATGTCTTGTGAAGTGAAAAGCTGCGTGTTTGTAAAATGCAATAATGACGCTTTTTTACTTCAAACCTCTGCTTATGGCTAAAATACAAGTCCTCTTGTGTATGATTTTGAACTGGTATTTTGGCCAGAAGTGATGCTTTAAAGTTAAAACACCTTAATAATGGATTTTTTTTTCTTAAAACACAGAACTTTTCACTTCACAACACATTAATTGATGGAGTTGTGTTGTGTACATGTGGATTATTATGATTTTTTTATATAAACTGTTGAGGATCCACTAATAATATTTTTTAGCAACTGCAGAGGATCCACTAATAAAATGCTACATTTTTCCAAATCTGTTCTGATGAAGAAACAAACTCATCTACATCTTGAATGGCCTGAGGGTGAGTACATTTAAAGCAAATTTTAATTTTTAGGTGAACTGTTCCTTTAACTTGTACTGAAACTTTTAATGTCTCAATACCAAAAATACATAAAATATGACCCAAAAGACTCAAAACTAACAGTGATTCTGCTAAATCAAAAAAGAGGCTGACAAGGGTAATTAATGATCACAAGACACAAAGCATATTAAGCTCATTCGTGGATGAGTGACATCATTTCACAGGTTTTGGCGTATTGCGTAATGGCTGCTTAATTATACCCTCTCACCTCACTCTGTGTTCCTAGCACGTACACCCACTGTGTGTGCACTTGCTTGCGTGAGTGTGAACCTTGCACCTGCACCTCTTGCTCATCTAACACTGACACATTCACACTCCACCCCACCTCAGAAATAAACCAACCACCCCTGACATCAGGAGAACAAATGCAAATATCAGAGAGATAATGAAAGAGCCCATGAAAGCTTTTAGTCCATGTCTGTTGCTTATAGTCCATATCTGTTAGATTGAATTAATCTAAGTTTGTGCACTGGCTCTCAACTGCTTAGACTTTACATTGGACATCAAGTAGTGTGCAAGTTTTGTAATTGTACAAAACAAAGATGTCCTTAAAATCAAACACTTAAATGTATTAATATTACCTTAAACTGCATAGTCCCAACAACATGTACATTCTTTAACACGTTTCTTTACCAAAGATCTTGACAAAATTGAACACATTTTAATATATATAGGATATGAATTGTGAAGAACTTAAGGATTCTTTTAGTACTTTTAATAAATTCAATTCAATTAAGAAATACAATAACTTCACCAAATGATGAGAGCTTCAATAAAAAAGTTGCAATCAATTAACTGGACTTAATTTAATACTATACAATAGTGTAATGGTTAATGCATTGTATTATTATTTATAAAATACTACTGACAAAACCCATTATGTGTATCTTTAACTACGCATTGTCATATAATCAACCAGTGAGTAACTGCACTGGGGTGCGTTTCCCGTACAACGACGTAACTCACTGATAAACCACCATTGTATGATGCATTGTTGTGGAAACTAACTAGCCAGTCACGACTGTTTCCCAAACACGGTCGCATCTCCGTTGTTTGAACCACATTAATTCAACAAGTCGGCGATTCACAATCACGCTGTGTGAAATGAGTTCTGACTGAAAAACACATTGGCGACGACCTACAGCCAATGAGAGACCAAGATACAGGGCAGGGGGAAGTTCGGGGAGGAGTTATATGAAACGTAGTTTGCGGACCAGTGTTGCCAAATCCGCGATTGCCGCCGGCTGCTTTTTATGTCAGCAGGTTGAAGCGACCCCGATGACGTGATATTTAGGCCCCGGAATGTGAATTGTACCAGGAGAACCCTGCCAAAAAAATTTGTATTTTACCCCCCGAACGCGATTTTTACTGGGAGACCCCCTCGAAAGCAATTGGGCTATTTTCAGGCTAGTTTTGAGTAGTAATTGGGCGGGTTTTGTAGCGAAAACCTGGCAACCCTGCACCAGACAGAGCTGTCGGCGATTCTTCCTATTGTAAAGTCATGCAGTGTGTAACCTCCTGTCGTCGTTCCATCGTGCAGTGTGAACACAGCAACAACTGAATGCTACCCCAGATAGTCGTTCAGTGTGAAACCAACAGTGATGCGATGTCTTTGAAAATCGTGCAGTGTGAACTCGGCATTAGGGCCGTTGTTAATGGCGTCATGCGCATGTGGTGGAGTAATAACTTCTTCTAATTAATTGATTAGAGATTTCTGAGATGCAGCTGTATTGAACATGGCACCTGATTACTAATTTACTATATTTTGTTCCCTGTCATTTTGCTTTATTTGATGTTTGATTAATCGCTGGTTCCCTCTTATGTCATACTCCGGGGTTCCCTTAGGCATTTATACACATGCGCACTCTTCAAAACGGCGCTTACTGAGGATGCGCTCAAATATATCGATTAAAATGTGTATATATATTTAAGTAGAATGGAAGATATAGATTGTACTGCATGTTAGCTTGCTTATTGTGCCCAAAAGCATAATTTATTTAAGTCCATATGTCTTACTAACAAGAAACTATGCTTCTAACCACAGGTCGAGAGCTGTAGTTCCTACCATGCAAGTTTGCGAATGTTCGTTCGAACTATGGTTTCGGGAAACACAGAATTGTTGAACTATGTTGGTAACGACGGAACTTGCGACCATAGTTGGCTAACGATGCTTTTGGGAAACGCACCCCTGATTAGTTGTGTCTGTTTGATTTACTCAAAAAGAACATAATTTGAAACAGTTTTTAGCTCCCAACCCGTATTTAAAACAACAAAATCTAACATTTATTATACACAGCTAAAATTTACTCTAATAAATTCTGATGACTTGCATTGAACTCAGGAATATTAAAACATTAAAAAAAAAAATTATAATAATTAAGTAAATGCTCTCTAGTATGAGAATGTCCCTCCCACTAATACAAACTGCCACCAACCAGCAATAGCAAGTAGCAACTCATGATTCATGGCTATTATGTACATGAAAATCTACTGGCAGTTTAGATTAAACGAGGAGCCCTTCAATACTCCACAGCTTATTAGGAAATATATCAACACCGGTTATAAAACTGTGCCGTTTTATTCCATTTAAAAAAATGTTATAGGATATAGAGATGAAAAATGAAACAAGCTAGATCTACCTCTTGTCATCCTCCACCTGAACCCCTATGGAGTGCACCTCTCTCAGCGCTTTGCCTTCTGGGTCTGAGTCAGACAACGTCTCTGAGCTGTCCACCTGGAAAACACAAAGAGAGACATTTAACAAAATGTTTCACAAGAGAGAGACATCATTCGGGCTGAATCTCTCACGGGATTATCCCCTCTTATACCTGCACTGCAATAGAGGGTCTCCACTTCCTCCCTCGTCCTTCCTGTTTGAACTCCTCTCCTCCAGTCAGAACTTTAGCTAGGGACATACTGTTCTGGGGCAGAGAGGCTGATTTTCCCAGGCTGCCTCCAGCTCGGTCCCTAGATCCCCTGGGCCCCTCCAGAAGGTCATCAGCTGAGCTGCTGTGTTTCGGTTTCATTGGACCAGGTCCACTAGGGTAGGCGATGCTCTGAAGGGCCCTGATATTCAGACTCTCCGCGGAGTTGCTGCTCTGTCTGACACGCGCAGTGCCCCCGCCAAGATAGTGCCCACCTCTGGAGCTTCGGCCCCCACTGCTCTCCGTCAGGTCCACTGAGTTGCTGTGCTGTCTGGGCCGGACCAGTGCGGGCTGTCCTGTACTCTGGAAGTAAGCGTCCTGAGTGGACTCAGTGCTGCTCTGAGCAGTCACAGAGATCATTGGCTTGGACATGCGAGGTGGAAGAGGAGGGGGTCCTTTCCTGTATGGGAACACTAGACCGACAAAGACATAAAGGTTTTATTAAGACTGCTATTTAAATATATCATTCATTTGAAAGATGAAGGGCTGTTCATTCAAAACAGTCGCCACAGAAGGAATAAAACATACTCTTCCTTTGAGTTAACTTTCTGCTGAAGAAGGAAATGAAGAAGGAAAATCATTAGAAAGGAGAACAGAGGAAAGGTTGCAAGAACTTACAGTACAAAACCTGCTAGAGGCTTCAAGTACTAGGCATATTTTGGTAGGTAAGAAAAAATATGGACACACAAACCAACACGAACACTTAATGTTTTCAGTACAATTAAAAAATACAACCAAGACAAGGATGTGGCACCTTTATAGGGACGCCTTGTTTGTAATTTCATCCTCCCCCCTTTTTGTTTTTCTTTTGGCCATAATGCAAGAGAAAAAAAAATACAATGTTAGTGACGACCGTAGGCTTTTTAAAAGTAATTTAAAAGTCCTCATTGTGTGTGACCTCATTATTATTATTAGTAGCCAATGCTAACTGTTGTTAGGGTTTTAGGGTCATTAATTGTTTTAAAAGTGACAAAGTGTTGTCACAACTTGTTTTAAGGTTATGGAAGAATGACTGTGTTTTGGTAGTTTCAGTGCATTTTGGATGTGAAATTAACTGACAAGCTGAAACTGTTTAAGGACAACTGGATGAAGAGTTTTGAAAAGTGACCCGAGTGTAGAGAAATGTGTTTTAGCGATTGTAAAAAAAAAAAAAATGGTATTGCAGATATTATCTTATACAGAGCAACCATACTGCTTCTGAGATAGATAGATAGATAGATAGATAGATAACTAAAATTTACAACAAAGACAGAATTGTGAGAACGCATACAGATATATGCAAATGTATTCTCTGTATCGAGAAGACAGAAACAGATAAATATACATCTACTGTATACATTATAGCTTAAAATCCCCATTCGAGTATTATCATTCAAAAGCTTTAGACACATCCTCATGGCTTAAGTAACATCCACAGGGACCCATTCAGTAGCTCTTGAGAACGGAGACATGAAATTCAGAGGGACACACTCCGAGATTAAAGGAGTTTTAAAAAAAAGCATGCCTAAGCCCTCCTTCCATCTCTCTTGTCCTCTCCTCATCCCTCTCTCTTAAAAACACTCACACTCCGGTGTGTATCACGAGTGTTGCCTTGGAAAACTGCAGATGGATGCTTTTGACACTTCACAAGGGCTTTAATAAATCTCCTGTGAGATTCTCTACTCTAAACGAGAGAATAAAGGACAGTGGGGAAAAAGACAAAGTCATCCACATGTTAGTGAGAGAGAGAATAAATTGCGATTGCAATCGTGACCATACAGTGTATATTTTTACAGAGACTTTTTGTTGTTTGGCTTTTGCCCTGTCTTTTGGATTTTGTCATATTCATTCATTACAGTTCATTCATTACAATTCACTGACAAGATTAACACTACGACCATAATCTTGACTACAACCCAAGGGACAGTCAAGGAGACAGACGTCTCATGGGAATTTGAGCATTTAAAAGTGTTTACGATGTAACATTTGTTACAGTCTTGATATACTGAGAGCCTAGAGATAGAAGGAAAACAGTTTTGATCTAAATCCCTTGGCTGAAGCGTGTTTCTCCAGCAATTCCTATGAGACTGATCCAAAAACTCATTAAGTCACTAATCTAATCCCTGTGACAGCATGGAGACTAGGCATACCCACACATACATAAACACATGCTGATGACTCACCTGCTTCGCCCTTCACGCACCCCTGTGGGCCCGACATGGAAAAGACAGACAGGCAGTCATCGTCCTGGGAGCAGCCGGCTTGGATAGCCCGTACGTAGCTGTGACTGCGAGTGCGGAAGCATCCGGGTAGGTCCAGTGCCTCGACAGCCTGTGATTCCATTTGTCCAAACAGGTTCAGAGTGTCACTCAACTAAAACATACAAAGACAAGATTTCAATGAAGGCTGAGGTTCAGATGTTTCAGCAAATAACCAGGACTGTTTATGCAACTGTTCAGTTGATAAATGATATGTAAAAGCTGAACGTGACTGCACATTATTACTAATCAGGGTTATACCTAGTGACATATCTAGTGACCAGAATATGAGGGGGAGTGCTCTGTTGACATTGAGCCAATAAGCATTTATCTAGAACACTCTAACAACCACCTAGTCATGCATTGCCAACTACCCAGAACTCCATAGTAATCACCTAGTTATGTCATAGCAACTAGAAGGATGCCCTAGCAATGACTAGAACACTTAAGCCACTGCCTAGTTATGCCCATCAGCCAAAACCATCCAAAAGAGGCACAAAATCACTTTTACAGACTTTAAAATTAAAAGTTCCCTCCTGGTGGAATGACCTGCCCACCTCAATCCAAGCAGCTGAGTCCTTAGCCATCTTCAAGAATCGGCTAAAAACGCATCTCTTCCATCTTTATTTGACCCTCTAAGCTACGTGTACTGCGTTAAGATAACTGAGACTTGTTATGGCACTTGCATATCATTGCTCTTTTGTTGATTTTGGTTGCTTCCATTATCCTCATTTGTAAGTCACTTTGGATAAAAGCATCTGCTAAATGACTAAATGTAATGTAAAACTCTCTAGCAACTACCAAGTCATGCCCTTGCAACTAGCAGGATGCCCAAGCAATCACCCCATCTAAGTCACTGTCTAGTTATGTCTTAACAACAAGCCAAAACTCAACTTCCCAGTTATACCCTAGAACAGGGCCGTCTTTAGGCGTCTTTTTTCAACTGGTGTGGTCGCCCCAGGCCCTCGGGCGAAGGGGAACAAAAGTATGTGATCGCGCATGGATTGGCTACCCGGAACACGGTCGTGAACGGATCATGAACGGACCGAGGGGGACAAACAACAACTACCTAGTTATGCACTAGAAACTAGCAAGATGTCTTAGCAATCAACAGAACTCCTAAGCCACCTCCTAGTTATGCCAAACCAACCAGCAGAACACCCTAGCAATGCATTACAACATTCATAATACTTTTGGTTTTCATGATTATTGAAAGAAAAATAAATAATTAAAATAACTTGGAAAAAATAACTACACGTAATGTGAACACTGTATGGTTTTACCTGAGCGCTGGTCAGAGAGCGTGTGGCGCTACGGGAGCGAGCATGGCCTTTAGGTGTGGTTCGACTGTTCGGGTAGATGTCTGTACATTGTTTACATGAGTACCTGAGAAGAGGAATACACCATTAAATCCCCAGATTGCACTTCTCAGTCCCATAAAGCAAAACATATACCACTCAATCCTTATGTAGTTGCGGTACCATTGTACAATGATGTACAAAATGGAATTACCTTGGTACACCCATATACCTTACCATTTTCATGTACTATTGGTTTTACATGGTAGTCCAGTGTGCTAATTTTTAATAGTGCAAATACAAATCTCAAAATAGCAACAAAAAACGGTAACAGAGTCTGGAAATTAAAACTGAAAACCAAGTGACAGCTGACTTAGATGCGGTGGAGGAGCGCTGGTCCATGCTGACAGAGCGGCGGAAGGCTTCTCTCTGGGCAATGAGGGCTGATTTGGGTGAGGCTTTGGGGCTGGTGTCTGAGTCAGCGCTGTCGTCGTCCCCCATAGCCTTGATGTAGCTGCCACTGCGCATACGTCTGCAAGGGATCTCCCCACCACTGTCAGATGGCCCACCACCGCACCAGTCATCTGAGGGAACCTGCAAGAGACACACAACTTGCTGTCAACATGGCCTTTACTTATGAAACTGATGAGGGATGAGGCTGTTCTATATTTACATAAAAAGCTAATACTGAAAAACTTAAATTTTAGACACAACATCTGCAGTTTCTTTGAATCGAGCAAATCTGCTGAACATATAGGTTGAGTGAATGATTCACTGATTCACTCAGAAAGTCAGTTGTTTCATTCTTAAATGTATCTGTGTTTTTTAACAAATCAGAGTGAATGATTCAGTGACTCACTCATAAAGATTAGTTAAGTGTTTTTGAACAAACCGAACGAGTGAAGTATTCAATGACTCACTTGTTTTATACCAGAATGAATCAATGCTTTGAACGAATGAGAAAAAAAGTTAAGGTTTCAATGACTCACTCAATATAAGAAAGTCACTTGTCTCCACCTGGTGTATCGATGTAACTTGTAGGAAGAGTCAACTCCATCACTAATTCACAGATTGACAGTCTGTCTGGAGTGATTCAAAGAGCGAAAAGTCTTCTCTAATTTCGAGAACCTAAACTTACTGTCGTATAGCTATATATCATTGATATGCGAGAAAATGCAATGATATTGCAACTAAAGGTTTATGTATATCAGAAAAAAAATATCTTGTTAGAGTTGTGGCTTTCTGGTCACAGCATAACCAGAGGGAATGCAGGGTTGAACTGAAGTAAAATAAAATCTGATTGGCTGACAGGGATGAAAGGCACCAGCTGTACATTTAGAGCTGTCATCACACTCAAGAGCTGCCCCTCGGCTAGGGCATGGACAGAGCACAGATGTGGGGAGATAGCAGGTTATGGAGGGGAGAGGCAAGATTATTTATTTTCATGAACTCTGCTCTCCAGAGCCATGTCCTTTTCTGATAGCATCGCTACGTATTATTGCTGTTTTTTTGCCTCTGCATTTGCTCTCTGTCACATATTTTGAAAACATAAAATAAAAAAATAGTGTCTTACAAGCTATACAGCCACTATAGGATAGCTAGACATTTAATACCAGAACCAATAACTCTTTCAATTCAGGGCAAGGAGAGATGGGCGCAGTTCCAGTGTTGTCTATGTTTAACAAAAGGATGTTCCTTCTTAAACTTGTTGCTGTCCTTACTGTTTAACTGTATACATATTCTCTGGGTTTCATTTTTGTTAATCATTCAGTTTTCATTATTAGGATGCAGGAATATTGAATTAAATAAAACATCTAAAAATTATTAGCACATGTAAAGTGATAGTTCACCCAACAATAAAAATTATGTCATCATTTAGGCCTCATTTACACTGCAGGTCTTGATGCCCAATTCTGATTTGTTGCCTATATCCGATTTTTTTGGCTGTCCGTTTACACATTCTTTCAATTGTGACCCATATCTGATTCATGTGTTTACACTTGCCATACCATCTGAAACATCGCGCATGCGTTGTTGTCATTTACCGCGTCAACATGTGCTTCCTCCTGAGAATAATTTGACCTGTGCTGACAAAACGAGTCACAATGAGCAATTAAAAAAAAAATAAAAAAGACATTCTCCATTAAAAGACCTTCACAATGATTTATGATTTGTTGGAATCTGACAAAAAAATTACTGAGCTACACCAGTTTGAAGTCGATAGAGTGAATTCATCCGTCTTTTCTTATTATTAATTACTATATTAATAATCACAATACAGCTATTTTTATTTTATCTTTGCTATTATAAATAAGAACAGATGCAAAAAAACAGTAGAACAAATAGCCTAGAAAGAAACAAATAATGCATTACCTTTATCATTTTATATCTAAACTAAAGCATTCATGAACGAAAAACAAATAATCAAATGTAAAAATAACTTTAGTGTGTTCATTACAAATAAATTGATTATTGAAACTACAAAAGCAGTTCAATGAAGTGCAGTGAGTGATTCCCTCTTTTCTTTTATTGTTAGATTAACATTAATGATACAGACGTCCTATACTGTAATGCACGGATCTAATAGGCCTATAATGTTACACATCAGATGTTTTCCCCCAACAGTTCCCTAAGTGTTCACTTAAGACAGAACAGATTATGTTTGCGTGAATACTGAAATACTGTAATTCAGTATATGTGTGTATTTATCGGGATTGCGCGCCGTCAGAAGCGCCGTTATATGCATGCACTTCGGATGACAGTCAGAGTGAGAAGCGAGCGAGAAAAGGTAATCCTCTCAGAAAATGTACAAATAAAGATAATTTTAGATGTTTAATTACTACCTGGAGCATTTTTGCACCTTTTTTTTGTTTTGTTTTTTGCCTGTAGCTCAAAATAGCCCGTGCGAATTTACACTCATTTTGCCAGCAAGGGTCACATATGACGATATTAAACCGCGAAGAAGTACCAAATTGTCGCAGTTTTAATGACGTACAGAATGTAATGCCTCAGAAAATCCGATCTGCCTGTTTACATGACAGTCGCATTGGCACATATCTGATTTATATCCGATTTATTTCCACATAGACTATGAATGAGGCCTGAAACCGATCTCGAAATATCCAAATGCATGCGTTTTTTTCCCTGTTTACACTGTCATAGAACAGATCCGATCTGTGTCTCATATGAGCAAAACAATCGGAATTGGGTCACATTTAACTGACAGTGTAAATGGGGCCTTACTCGCCCTCAAGCTGTTCCAAACCTGTATGTTTTTTCCCCCCCCCCCCCATATTATGGAAGCCAATGGCTATTTTCAACTGTTTGGTTACCAACATTCTTCAAAATATTGTCTTTTGTGCTCAGAAAGGGAAAGTCATACAGATTTGGAACAACTTAGGTGAGTAAATAATTGCAGAATTATTTTCATTTTAGAGTGAACTATCCCTTTAAGATTGTAGGTATGGAGTTATCAGGGGCATTTTGTCCAAAGAGGCAGTGCATACACCAAAATATAGACAAATATATAAAACAATGGAAGGTTGTGCCTCAACAGACGGCTTTATACTTCTTTTCTCACCCCTTTCTTTCACTTACATAAGATGATAATCCCACCACCAAATGACCAAGGAGAGATGCACTTGTGCCCACACACACACAAGATAAGGAACGCATTATCTATCAGTTGACCACTCAGTGGGGTACTTAAAGGTCATCTCTTTCAAAGGATGATGCGACTTGATCTCTCTATCCATCTCTGTTTCTCTTGGCTCCACCCCCTCCTATCTTCCTTCTAATACACACATGCACTTAGGTACACAAAAACACACCAATACACAAACATAATTTTGAATCAGGAATTCAATTGGCCTCTTCTGGAGAAGCTGATCATCGATATTTCTAATCCTTGGTTTGAGTGTCTCCATTGTTCTCTTCATTTTTCCTCAGACTTCCATTTTGTTCTTTTAATGCAGCAGAAAAAATATTTGTTCCTGCAAAGACGTATGTGTAATGTCACTGCATTAATGTCATACCGTTTTTCTTGCATAACTCTGACATAATTGGCCATTTTGAATGAATAGATCACTAAAAATAACATCATGTGCATGGAATGAGTAAAGTGCAGGTGAGCAAATAATGACAGAATTTTAATTTAAAGGGACAGTTCACCCAAAAATGACAATTCTGTATTCATTCACTTACCCTGATGTTGTTCTTAAATTGTATGATTTTCTTTCTTCTGTGGAACTTAAAAGAAGATATTTTGAAGAATGTCTTTTTTTTTGTCGTCCATATAATTCCCCATCCCCCTGCCCACAAAAACACTTTCCTTCCTTGCAAACTGTGTTATTGTTCTCATCCTCTTATTTTCCCCCCAACAGTCCCATTCGTTCTCATTATATTGACACATTTCACTTCCTCCTGCTCCTCTGCTAATTGCGACACAGATCGTCTGACTTGTAACAGAGGATTCATCTGGTTCATCCCCATGTCTTCAGATCAGATCACATCAAAAAACTGCTCCCCTGCGATGAGCCCCCAACTGAGCTGCAGCCCACAACTGGGTTTTTTTCTCGCCAGAGGCTCAGGGTAGCTGAGTCAGCTGCTCAGCCTTCAGCTATCACTGTAAGACCTCACACAATTTCCTCTGGACCAGTTGGTCTTCATGATGGAACCCAGAATGAGCACTGATGGGGTTTATATGCAGACTTGGGGGTTATCTGGATGTCAGAATCTGCTTTGAAACTGTAGCTTCCAAAACTGCAAGCTACTCAGGATTTAAAGTATTCAAACTACAGTCAAGCTACTTTTTAAAAGTTTAAAAATGTTGTTAAAAGTAGTCAGCTGCTCTACAAACTACTAACACAAAGGTCCTGTTTACACCTGGTATTAAAGGGTTACTCCACCCCAAAATGAAAATTGTGTCATTAATCACTTACCGCCATGTCATTCCAAACCCGTAAAAGCTTTGTTCGTCCTCGGAACACAATTTAAGATATTTTGGATGAAAACCGGGAGGCTTGTGACTGTCCCATTGACTGCCAAGTAATTAACACTGTCACGGCCCAGAAAAGTATGAAAGACATCGTCAAAATAGTCCATCTGCCATCAGTGGTTCAATCTGAATCTAATGAAGCGACAAGAACACTTTTTGTGCACAAAGAAAACTAAATATCAACTTTATTCAACTTTTTCTTCTCTTCTGTGACACTTCCTGCAAGCGCGTTCATGATTTCATGAGCAGCGCCTTCCGGGTTATCTGTCTGTATGCTGGCCTGTACATTAGCAAGTCACGGCGCATGCATACAGACGAAACATGCCTCAGACGAGCGCACCTCAGATCACGCACGACACTGAGTGGTCACAAGTGGTCAGCGGAGATACACTTGACACTACTAGATACCGTGTATACCTGTGGCCAGTTGCATAAACTTTTTAGGGATATTTTAGGAATAGTTCACCCAAAAATTTAAATTCTGTCATTAATTACTCACTCACCCTCGTGTCATTCCAAACCTGTAAGACCTTTGTTCATCTTTGGAGCACAAATTAAGATATTTTTTATGAAATCTGATCAGTAAGCTACCACGTTC